TGATTTCAAAGGCTTATAGGTGGAAAGGACATCCTTGTCTCAGATAAGACTTTGGACTTGGACTTTTGGGTTGATGCTGGAATGAGTTAAGATTTGTGGGACCGTTGGAAGGGCATGATTGTGTTCTGAAAAGTGAGGACATGAGATTTGGGAGGGGCCGGGGCAGAATTATATCGTTTGGCTGTGTCCTCACCCACGTCTCACCCACGTGTCAGGGGTGGAACCAGGTAAAGGTAATTGCATCATGGGGGTAGCTTCCCTCATGCTGTTCTACTAATAGTGAGTGAGTTTGCACAAGATCTGATGGTTTTATGATCATCTGGCATTTCCCCTGCTGGCACTCATTCTCTCTCCCGCTGCCCTGTGAGGAGGTGCCTCTTGCCATGCTACATGTGGTCACATTCCAAAATGAGGTGAGGCACAATGTATGTAGAGTTACTAAGAGAGTGGCAAAACTGGATTTGTAACTCTCAACCTATCACCCACTTCTAAGCTGAGGCTGGGGTGCCTTACCATCCACCATCCCTCCACAGCTGGACATACACAGACACATCACACACAAACACACCGCTATGCACTGCGGAAGAACAGAGGTGGTTCTTCCGTCTTATCTAAGCCAAGTGACAGGACTTGACCCTTGAAGTTTGTTAGGTACAGAAACTGGTGCCAGAGTGTGCCTTAAAAAGTCCATAGGGAATAGACTGAAAGGCAGAGATAAGAGGCCATAGTGGGAACAAATCCCATTAAAGGCAGAAGAAAGGTATGTAGTGCTGTCTGCCTGATGAGTAACACATGCACCATGTGCAGCCTGAAGCCCTTTTAAATGCTACCACAGGTGACTGCCTGTTAGGTTTATACGACCCCAATAGAGTGGTGGGTCTTTGGATGCTCAGGGCAGGGGCCTGAAGAAGGGCTCATAAGTAGAGTGAAATAGACTACACGTGAACAGTATTGCCCACCTCGAAGGCACCTCAATCAGGAGTTCCCAGCCATGCATGTACCTGAGGAACCCAGGAACGCACCCAGCAGGGAGCATTGGTATTAACAAACAACCACCTTTAGAGAGTGCCATCTGCTAGATTATACCTGTGCCTGCCAATAAGCTCCTCCTTGTTTCTTACAGCTCTCCCCTTTCAGTCACTAACCCAGAAGGTGTCATGGCCATCCCACAGATGAATGGTAGAAAGGGGTGTGGAAGAGCAAGGTGATTCTTACCCTGAATAAATTTTTCTTATCTCTGGCAAAGTAACTGGGATTAGAACTGTGGAAAGTGAAAAGGAAGTCAAAGCAGGCTTCGGAATCAGGAAAAGATGCTACAACAAGTTTTTCTAATGCAAACTTTCCTTCTCAGAAACTGACTACAGAGTTTTCTGAGAATGGGTTTATATCCAATATTCTAAAATTTATACAAATTTGATGACATATATGTGCAGCATCTGTTTTTTCCTTGGATTATAGAACTAAGATCCTCTTAGCTATAGATACTTCATGCATTTGAACAGGTAATATAAAATGCCCCAGGGATTTTCTTAGAAAGAAAAATAAAACATTGAACCCCTTGAGAAATTTTCTCACTAATAATAAATAAATGTTTATAAAACACAATAAACTCTCTGGGCAAAGGAATTTAAGAACCTGGGGAAATGTTCTGTGGTAACCCCTCTGGCAACATTTTAATTATAATGCAGCCTCCCCTCCCTGCTCAATGAGTCTAATCTATTTTAATATGAACAACAATCTATTTACTACAACACATTAAGAAATCCAAATATCTGGAACAGGTCATATCTCATTTGCTATTGCTGATTAAAACAAATAATAGGGTAAGATGGCTTTCTGCCTTTTTTCAATCACTGCACTTGTGTCTAAGGCTGTTTTTGAAACAGAACTAATACTTTAATACTTGAATAAATGTAATTTTCTAATTGCATTAATCATATGAAATAGTTTGAACACTGTTTCTTTGAGTATTTTTGTAAGGGTGACTCAGGAACTCTCACTCATCAAGACTGTATATTTTGTTGAATACACCAAGGAGGTAGTTTTGACATGTCATCACAGTATGCGAGAATATGATCAGTTATAGAAAAATAAAATTTCCTCTATTTGCCACTTTATTAATAGATCATTTTTGTCATTATTGGCATAAGCTATAGTTTCCATTATTTTTCTATGAACTGTAAAAATGGTGCTAAAAATAGTATAGAGCACTGCACAAGATGCTCAGTTCATGACAAGCCATGGGTAAAACTGGGCCTTTCCTGGGCCTGTCACTCCATGCCCAGTGTTAGAGGACAGACTGTCATTTCTCCACTGTCACTCACTTCACAGTTGTTAGCATTCTTTTGTGAGTTTAAAGAGATTTCTTACGCTCCTGTTGAAATACCATTAGTTCCACTTTTCATACAAAGAAAAATCTTGAAAAGACAGATTATCTATGTGTAGAGGAAATGATTTTTCCTGAAGGGCATTTTCTTTTTCTTTATGCAGGGTATTTTTAAATGTCTCAAGTGATGAGGCTGGCTGTTCAGCCAAGTTCAGGAACACACTTTAATTCCACCCATTATCTATCATTGTGAACACAAACCTGCTGTTTCCTCTCTGCTGATAATCTATCATCTTACAGGAGTGAGGATGGCTTCAAACCACAGGAGCAAAGAGCAGTCACAGATTTGGCTTACAAGGAGATTTATAAGTTGAACTCCACACACAGAAATATGTTCAATTCAACATCTCCTTGCTCAAGTTATGTATAATGTTTCTTCCCCATCCTCTTTTGAAAACTTAGCTACAATAGAGAAAAGTAACCTGATAATGAAGACGAAATAGGAATGGGTGAATCTAAAATGTATATCTATTGTCTCAAAATTAATTTCCAGAATATTATTTTTAATAGGACACAAATCATTATTTTCTGCACATAAATAGAAACCAGTAGGGATGTCCTACTGAAGGACTCTCTCTCCTAAATGTCCTTATTCTTCCTTCATTATGCTATCTATTTTCCCAGGATAGCAACATTAATTTGACATGGCTGAATTATGCTACCTGCTGTTTCCTGTATAGCACTTTCAGTGCCTCAGGCTGGGTTTCTCGCTTTGGGGATAGGGGCCAGAAAGAGATTTCTAACTCTCCTGTAGTATGAGAAGCAATTAAGCTACAAGTTGCTTAGCTGTAAGCAGTTAACCTTACAAACCTAATAAATTATTTGATTATATGGAATGCTTAGAACTTTGACCCCTTTTAGTAAATATGCATGAAATTGCAAAACTTATGTTCTGTATTTTTGTCACTTGATTTTTTTAATATCCCCCACTTTACTCCATGCTTTAAGATGTATGAGTAGCAAATAGAATAAATGCATATGTTCTCTCATTGCCAAATCATATGACTCTATTGTCTTTGCTGCTACATTATCATTGTTTCAGTCGAAGACCGTACCACTTAATTCTGCATATGAGAGAAAGCAGCACTTTTGTCTTTGTCCCCTGTATTCAATTAAAAACAAACAAACAGGCATAAAACATGGACACTAATGAACCAAAAATGGTCTGTAATTAATTTTAAATTCACTACTAGTTTCGAAAATTAGCTAACACTGCAAATTGCATTGACCATGATCAGACCCTTGATAACAAGGCCTATTGTGTGAAATGTGCAAGTCAGCAGAAACACAAATGAAAACCTTTCAGCTTTAAACATTTCTAAACAAAGGAAGATGAAGTCTGAAGTTTTAAAACAGCTTTAAGCAACTATGTCTCACACAAGCTCAATTAATAAATCACTTCAAAGTATACTTTCTTTTTTGCACATTCATTTTTGTGAGGTCAACTCATCAGAGGAATGATAGATATGAGAGAGCAAAATTCTGCCTTTTATTTCTAGAACCTCAATAATAATATTCCAGGCAGTCTTAGTAGGTCATCCAAAATGCTCAGATAGATAAGTGGAGAAATAGCCTTTACTTGGTTGTAAAAATTAATTTGAAAATATATAAAATTAAAGAAGTTTGCACCATTATTTAATGCAAAGAAAGGAAAAATATTTTGTAACCTTACAGCTGAATAATTCCCGAATCCTGTTTATACTTAATTATTCCTGAGATATCTTGGCTTTTAAATAAGTGCTCTGACAACTAAATCAGAAATTCATTTTCATTCTAATTCTCCTGATATGTTGTTATATAGGAGTCATCATTTAAATATTTAAGACTTGTAGTAATAATTTCACATATATGTATTTGTTGTTGTTATTTGTTTACTTTTAAAGCAATACAACTTTCATCTGTGATTTTTCAAACAGTCCAAATGGTACAAATATAATTCTGGATCGTGGTTCATCCTCAACCATCATGCTCCCAAAGTTTAAAATCCAGTCTCGTCATTTGTCATCTCAGGGAAATTGCTAAATCTATTCAACACTTAGTTTTGCTAGCTATATAGTAGAGAAATCTGTTATTCCTATCTTATAGGGATAGCAATTACAGGAGCAAACTGTAGGACTGAATCAAAGAATATAGAAAAGATATTTGTTCTATTTTCATAATTTTTTGTCAATAACCCATTTCCCCCGAATTCATGCCCTTACCTTTGGTAGGCCTCCAAACAGCTGTAGAACTTGTGGCTAATCTTTTTGTTTTCCATCAGTTTTCATCATTGTTTGCTTCTTGAGCCCTCTCACTCATGAGCATGAGAGGATAACTTTCCCTCATTGACATTCTCTTTCTTTCTTTCT